CCCATGATGCAAGTGACTACTAGCGCATAGACGCTCATCGTTTCTATCGCTGCATGTGTGCAGCTGCTCGGTACGTCCAAGCCCCGTAAATGTCGCGCCTGTGAAGTTGAGAAAAGCTGGACCACTTGAATCTCGAGCATGCGATACGTGTTGCGTACGGTTTTGAGTTGAAAGTCATTGGTCTCTTGCTGTGCAAAGGTCTGTACTCCGTCTCTTCGGTAGTCAGCTTCTGATGACAACACAGAACCCACGATGCGGCCAAACTGTGATTTTGGTGTCGTAGATGCGACAGTAATATGGGCCCCGCCATCCTGAGGGGTATGGTTCCTGGGCGTAGGAGGCTTCGCGACATTGGTCGCTGTATTGAGCTGCCCGGGACTAGCCGAGCTCTGGTGAACAGGCTTGCGGTTCTGTGAGTGCTGCTGTGCTAGAGCCGATGCGTTGTTCTATTCCGTACTGTCGACTTGCAAATCGCGCTGCAAGTTTTGAGGTACTCGCCCCAAATGGTAGCTCCCTGGCCGGATAGGTTGAGGCAAGTCTGGCCTACCCGTCTGATGTTCCTGCGGAATGGCTGATCGAGGCTGCTGTTCACGCACCGGAGACTGTAGGAGGGGTCGGGCATGGCCAAGAGCTGCCCCTAACCGGTTGCGTGCAGGGCTCAAGGTTTCCTCATCGCCGAGGTCCTTATTCAAGCCTGAAGTATGTTGTATGTGCCTGTGTGATTTGCTGGCATGGTACTGGTCTCGATCAGGTCTACTAGGAAGTTGAAAATCGACGGAGTGGCCATAGCTGGTAGCTAAGCCATGTATTTTCGAACCTGGCTGGTCTTGGGTGATCCTAGAATGTCTGTACCTCTTTCGATTCGGACCATCGGTGTTTTGTGGAGGAAGGCCAGTGCGTAGTGAATGAGGTGACTCTTGCATCACAGGAGTATCATCGGGACACATTGGTTGCTCCACGACAGTGAGGTTGCCATCGAACTCAGCGAGCTTTCCAACATCCTGAGATGATACTGTTCTTCCTCTCTTTAGAGGCTTCGGGGGGGTCTGTGTGGGTGCGTCGTGACCTACGAGGCTCGTTGGTTTGAACGCATTTGCAGCAAATGAACCGTCCGGCACAAGGGTCTCTGTAGGACGCTGCCGATCATCGTGTAGAGAAACGAGAACTATGGAGGACTCCACCTGATGCGCGCTGTCAAGTTCAGTACTCTTGGTTCCTGAACGCACATTGCTACTATCAGTGTGCTTTGGTTTGTTCTTAGAGCCTTTGGGTCGACCAGGGCCGGCCCTTTTGATGGTTGACACTAATTTTTGATGCTCGACGCGATGTTCTTCAGAGGGAGCAGAAGCAGCCAGGTTGGTGGTCTCTTGGCTCACAAAGGTCGCTGAATTGGAGATAGCCGATACCTTCGGGCGGGTTTTAGATCCCTTGGGCCGGCCCCTACGCCTTGGTGTCGGCAGATTCGCTGCACCTTGAGTTGATGAGTGCAGACTGGGAGCAAGAACTTGTGGTGGGGGGTCTAATGGCATAACACCGGACTCGTTTTCGGCGATGTCTTCGCCAGCTCCCGCAGGTTCATCGACATCCACCCAAATATCATCGGGGTTTCCAGCTGACGAAAAAGGATACTGCTTCGTTCGGCGTGACCCTAGTGCCTTAACTGACTGGCCGGGTCCCTTATCTCTCCGGAACCTCGTCGTCTTGCTTCCTTTCGGCCGCCCCTTCGGGCGCCTCTGCATGGCAGATGGGATGGATTCCAAAGGGGGGAAAATTTCGGAAAGCCAGCCCACAAACAGGGATCCCGGACCATTGGCCACATGGCTCTGGGGAAACCCAACGTCTGAGGGTGGGCACGGTGCACCAGGTATGCCTCCAAAGAAAGCCAGCGCTTTACAAATTTGATCTACAACCATGACAGGATGTAGGCTTCGAAGGAGTGTCAGAAGACGAGCTTGCTCCGTTTTGATTTCGGTTGGCGTCAGTTGAGTTCCACCAGGTTCACGGAGTGCGGTGGGAGGGATGGCTGTATACCCGCCGCCTGGGACAGGCGGCGCCGTTGGACCAGGAGGCGGTCCGGCGGGAGCAGGGCAATCGTGTTGGAGTATCCTCTGGGACAATGGGACGTAACCATGCTGAAAGGCAATTTTTGCACGCATGGCAGTACTTTCACTCGTGCGTTTAGCGGCAGCGCCGCGCTCAGCTGCCGCCGTTTGTGTGTCGAAATTAATGACCATGACGCCGAAGTTGCCTTTCTTCGCATCAGTTTGCCTCTGAGCTTGCTCGGGATCGCATTTCGGACACGGCTACCATGATGCCGGCTGAGCTGCTGTACGGGAGAACCGGTTTCCGTAGCCAGTGTTGGGGTCGATCTGGCTGAGGCAAGGCCTACATTGGTCGAGATGGGTTGCTGCTGTTGCGCGCAGTGCAATGTGACAAGATCTAAAAGATTAAGGATAAGATAACTATGAGCATAGTATCCGGTCGTTATGTCATTAACGAGAGCTGAGCGCATACCAGGTTGTGAAGCCATTGCTCAGGCTATCAATCAAAGTCTGGTTAATCAGGCAATCGTACTATGCCTAGCACTCAACCGTCCTTCGGGGAGTGTGCAACACCATCAAACAGTGCGCTCGGTCGGTGAACAATACGACAATCCTCGTTCACGGCCAACGGATGCGCGGCCGCTTGATGGGCAGGGCGCATCATCCACGGGCGAGATGTCTTACGGCCGTGATGATGCTCAGAGCCAGCTCGTTGCTTACCTTACGCAGACAGAACAACGACTTTTCAAGTCGGCAAAGATGAGGGGATCATTGTTGTACCACAATAAGATACGAAGCCAATGGTAATGTTGGTGAAGTCGTCGGTCGTCGACAATATCCAGTTGATTTGTTGGCGTTGTGTTTGGTGGATGAGCATTGTATTGCGAAATCCCACGAACAAGCGAGGCGATTTACTAGCTATGTACAAAGAGTTCCGAGGTATGGATCATGTGGGCGGAAATGATCAGGAATAGGTACCTACACGGGTGTACTCTGGGTCTTACGTAATGCAGGTTTCTTCAGGTTAGGTAGTGTCGGGTGGGGTGGTCTATGAAGCAATCAGGCTCCACCCGAGTCTCTCTGAGCTCCGTCGTTCATCCCGCACCCAGTTCCTTGTGGTGTGCCGCCCGCGCTGGCAGACTGGAGCTACCTTTACTCCGTAGCCAACAACGACACTTCGTTTCCACGAGCCTTGCACCCAGCTTGCCATTATATCCGAATAACTAGACTCCGTATTTTCCTGAACAAAGAGCTTCTGCGGAGTCAGCTGACCAACTATTCTAAGCTTGAACAGTCCCATTCTGTCAGTTGTTCCTCCAGGTAGCCTAGTCCAACCAACAAAGATACATCGTGTCGAAGAAACACAGACTGCTAATCCGTCACTTAATATAGCATCGATCCGGGTTTTCCACAAGAGATTTCTCGAAAGACACAGCTTTCGTTGCTTTCAACCATCAGTGGTTCGCCGACGCCCAACTTATCTGTTGCCAAGTTGCCCTTCAACTGGGTTCCCTCACAATCACGCATTGCGCATGGCCAATTGTTGAACAAGTCGCGTGGCAACGAGAACGACAGCAAAGATGCCAACGAAATATCTCCTGGTCTCTCTCCCTCAGGGTATCTTTGACTCAAGCAGCAAAAATGGCGCTTTATCGGAGCTGTCAGCGAAAATTTCCCCCGACAACGGTTCCACGCAGCCTTTTGCCATTCCCGACTTCAAGATCGGGACTCTTGATGCTTTAGTGCAGCAAGCAGATGACTTAACTAAGTTGGAGGCGGCTTGTGAGACTGTGGTAGCCAAAGTAGCCGACTCCCTGCGTACGATCTTGGATGGAGACGATGACAAGATCAGCCAGCAGAAGATGGTCAACGACAGTAAGCACTTCAAACATATTGGCCTCGAAGATGACATGTCTATTGCACAATCTACCACAATCTACACCGACAGTTTTTGACATTGCTGTTTCATAGAACCCACAGATCATTACATCAACTCCTTTGTCTGGAACAAGGTCAGATATCGTGCCGATAGGCCTCTGGGCGAACTGGTGGATATTCTGCAGAAGGTAGGGACGGCTATGTCGATTGCATGTCATTCGTTTTTGATTCGTTCATACTGAAACTTGCTTATAGGAACTTGTCACGAGCGACAACGATGTCAAGACAAAGTTCAACCAGTATAACTCGGTCAAGACCAACTTCACGACCTTGCAGCGCAAGCAAACGGGCAACCTCTCCACCAAATCTCTCACACCCGTTGTCGACCCCGCCTTGCTTGTCCAGGACTCGGAGTACTTGGAAACACACTTGGTTGTAGTGCCTTCCAACGCTAAAAAGGACTTCCAGAAGGGTTACGAGACATTGGCGCCCATGGTCGTGCCACGCTCAGCGGTGGAAGTAGCACAGGACGACGAATTCGTTCTTTTTGCCGTGACAACCTTCAAAAAGACGAGCACCGAATTCCTACAGAAGTGTCGCGAGCAAAAGTGGACCCCACGTCAGTATAAATATGTTGAGGGCGGTAAGGAAGAGGAGCAGCGGGAACTCGACCGAGTCGCGCGCGAGGAGAAGAAGGTCTGGGGTGAGGCTCTTCGTATGGGTAGGACTGGGTGGAGCGAGAGCGTTATGATCTGGCTACATGTTTTGAGCCTACGCGTCTTCGTCGAGGCTGTTCTTCGCTACGGCCTCCCACTGGACTACGTCTCGGCGCTGGTCAAAGTAAGTGAAACATACCACTCACGATCCAATATGCTGCCCAATATGCTGACGAGCATGGTTCTCAGACCACGTCAAAGCTGTCACCCAAGGTCAGGGCTGCGCTTGATTCTAATTACTCTTACCTAGGTGGCAACGCCTTCGGGAGAGATAAGCGTGGCAGGGTGACCAAAGACGATGCAGCACTGTCATCTGATATGGCTGCTGCCGGCGTTGGAGGTGCCGACGGCACTGAGTATACGGCTTACGTCTACTACGAGTTTGAGCTGCCTTGAGGGGCCCGCATCAAGTAATGGCCAATCGGCTTACGCTGGCTGCTTTCTTGTTCTACACACTGGTGACCTGGCATTGTATTGAAGAAAAATGTATCAATTACCGACGTCCGTCGACTTCCTATGCAATTCAATTCGTTTGTACTTTGCACAAAATAAATTGCTAGTCCATGCGTTGCGGGAACCTTTCGATGACTACAACATCGAATGAGGTGAGGGGGCTAAGGCGAACAATGCTGGCCAAGACTTTAGGCCTCAGTCTGCTTCGCAGCGATTAGACCTTTGGAAATCAACCACTGCGTAATCTCGCTGACGCATTCCTCGACAGAGGACTTGTCAGTACGGATACGAATCTCGGGCTTCAGTGGCTCCTCATAAGGTGCGGTGATGCCGGTGAACTCCTTGATCTCGCCAGCACGAGCCTTCTTGTATAGCCCCTTGGGGTCCCGCTGCTCGGCGACTTCGAGAGGAACGTCAACAAATACTTCGACGAAAGGGATGGAATTATCCTCGCCCTGGCTGGCCTGGGCGTGCAGCTCGCGTGCGGTGTCGCGATCGGCGCGATACGGAGAAATAAAGGAGGTGATCGCAATGGTGGAGGAATCGGCAAACAGCTTTGCAACCTGGAGCAAGTATTGTCGTGATTTAGCTTCAGACGTGGCCATGTTGGGAGCACGGTTCAGGACAAGCTCACCTCAGCAATCCTACGAATATTCTCGTTGCGGTCCTTTTCCGAAAACCCCAGGTCTTTATTCAGGCCAAAGCGCACATTGTCGCCATCCAGACGGTAGGCAGCAAGTCCGAGATGGATAAGGTGCTGCTCAAGAGCAGTCGCGACTGTCGACTTTCCCGAAGCCGACAGACCTGTCAACCAGATGGTGAAGCCCTTCTGACCGCGGAGCTCATTTCGCTCTTGGCGAGACAAGGAGGCATGCCAGGTGATGTTCCTGAACGATGGGATGGCCTGTCAGTGAAATGGATCAACGAGGTGAGGATGTGACAACGGCACGCGACTTAGTAACCGCTCCAACTAGAATAGGGTCGTGCGTCATACGTAGCCATGATGATTTAATGAATTCTGTACACGTTTCTCTGCGCAGAGTTCTTGGCTGATAAGGCAGTGGAAGTTGTGCAGGGAGCAATAAACAAATAAGATGGATCGACTTCGATGCGATTGATTATTATGCGAAGAAGGTGTCCGCACGGTCATACTGCTCAGAGAGGCCTCTTTTACATATTTGCCTAGCTGGTGAGGTAACAGCTCACTGTCTTGACTGGGTGGTCTCAAAGCCCCTCCCCTCGGTCACGTCAAGAGTGGGAGGGGCGATGGCGGGACGCTGTTGTGCTAATTGGTGGAGGTCAATGGCAGAGCTTTTTTTTGGTCGATGGCGCAAGAGGGGAGTTCTGTAGGCGGGGGGCGCTAGCGCAGCCGATGCCGGCCGCCTCACAGCTTCTAAATGACATCTTGCTCTCTAAGTCTAATACAATGTGCCCTGTATGTATGAACAAGGCTGCAGCGTGCAATTAGAGCATCACGTGAATTTGGACAGCAGCTGCAGGAGACCATTAGCGTCGGGTGCTCAGCAATCAAGCTTCGAGGGAGAGTGCGCCATCCTACCGTGGAGAAGCCTAAGTCTGCCTTCGGCGAGATGAAAAGACCGTTTGCCTCGACAAGAACGACTGGCTTTTCGCCCTTGGATTCGTCCACCAAGGTCTCGATACGGCCTGCGACCCACGCCTTTCTGCCCTCGACTCGCTGTGTTTCTGCCCGGAGTACCACAAATGTGCCTGCTGGTGTGGGCTTCCTGTAGTTGACCTCGAGTCGGGCGGTGACAGCCACCTTGCTGGGTAAAGCATCGAAACAGCACCTGGCGAGACCTTCGTCGAGAAGGGTCGCCAGCAGTCCTCCATGTACGATTCTCGGATGTCCACACATATCCGTCCCAAGATGCATGATAGTCACCGAGGACTTGCCACCTTGTTCCAACCACATGATTGGGGGCACAGTCAGCCGGCCGGGCCCAAGAAGGGTGCCTCCCGTGAGGGTTTGTTTGCGGAAACCCTCTGGCAACTTCATATGTGGGCGCGATTCTGTCATTTCTGGCCTGCTTCGTAAAGCAGCCGCGAGCGGGTGATTGTTGATCGTGGCATCCACAACAGCTGCTTCTTCATTCTCCGGTACAAAAGCCTGCGGTTTCTTGTTCGCAGACCCCACTACGACTGAGAGATTCAGAAGGGCGGGGCTGAGAGCAACGCAAAAGCCCAGGGTAGCGAATGCGAATCCAAACAAACCAATGTTCAAGATTTTGCGTAGTCGGGATCGCGACTTCGGTGACCCTTGTGCATTGATATTACCTGAGGTTTTTCGACAGGTCAGTGATATCCGTAATCATAACGCATTGTTCAAGGGGAAGGTTCAAGGGAGGTGACTGAGATCACGAACTGACCTCCTGTCCCGAGCGACTGATAGTAGCGGACACCCGGCGCAGCCGGGACTGGTATCTGGGGTCCGCATATGATGGACTTAGCAACTGAACCATTCGGAAGACAGGGTTTTATCAGAGCTCTTCGTAGCATCTTTGCATACCCTGGAGCTTTTATGGTATCGATTGTGGGTTCAGAATTGGGAAGCAACACGGAGGGCGAGGTTAACTCTGCAGATGGGAATGAGATACCAGCCTGTGCTTGAGTGGGCCCATAGGCCGCAACTTGCCTTATCAAGACGTCTAATTGGTCAATACTTTCCAATGCCTCGGCTCCCTGCACTCGCCAAGCCATCTGTAACTACGTACCTTACCTACCTACCTTACCCACGAGCACTCATCACAAGACAGTGGTAGTCTCGGAATGATGTCATGAAATTTGCGACATGTGCAGTCTTATGTGAACTCCTCGAGGTCGACGTCAACCCGAATGACGATTCATGCCATGCACATATATCCTAATTGAAATCGAACATAGTCTACTCACGCTCGCCTTCCCGGCTCATGCAATTGGATGCACAGTGTAGCTTACATGTCGTCCTCCTCGCCTAACATTTCCGCGTAATCATCTACAGATGCAAACATGGGTAGGCTCTTGAGCCTCTTCCGACGAGCAGACCTTGTCTCAGACTCCCTCTTCTTGTCGCTGGAGTCAACATCAGCGTTGCTGTCCTCGTCAGAAGCCTGGTTCACCGGGCCGAGCATCTCAACCCCGCCGTTTATGTCGTCGTCGTCGTCGTCGGTCTCGATATCACTTTCACCATTTGCGTCGTCGCCTTCGCTAAGGGATTCATCAGCAAAGAGGTCGCTGGCGCCCTGAGTACCATCACTGTCGTCGTCAAACCCGTCGAGATCAAGATCGGATCCATCGCTCTCATCAACGGGCCCGTCGGGGTGCGATGCCGTAAGCGCCTTCCAGATTTCATCCTCATCTTCGTTATCCGAGTCTCCTAACGGTTCGATGCGTGATGGTGCCTGCGGCTTCGACTGCTTGCCAGTATGCTCGAAGTAATGATGGAAGAAGACGTCATCGGCTGCAACCTGCTCGATCTTCTTATTCCAGAAGTTGGGATGGTTAATGGTTGTGGTCGACGCCCCATGCTTCTTTCCAAGGTATATATTGGATGCATCCGATGATGCTTGGAGTGGTTGCATGATGGAGACACCCCGGTTTGCCTCTGTCGCTTTCGGATTGCGGTAGACAAACTTGTCCAAGAAACGAATCAGGCTGTGGCTCTCCAGGTCTGGTTTCTGTACGGTTTCATCGCTATCAATGACGCTGAGCGCTAGAACTGGCACTGATGGGTGGAAATGCCATAATAGTGGTGCCTGTGCAAGCTAGTCAGCGCCTATGCAAAATCATGGTTAGAAAAAGAGGCTTACAATTTCCCAGAGGCAACTATTTTGCGCATTGCTGTGTTCCGGGTCTCTCTTTCGGCCATCATAGTCTGTAGCTGAGGTGACGACGTTGGATAGGTCCCCAGGTGTGAGGGATGCAGCAACCTCGGCGTCCCCATGTTCTTCAGCATCCTCGAGTAGTGCCCGAAGATCTGGGAACTGCAGGCGAAGCTGAAGTACGATGTACAATATCCCGCATGCGAATGAGGGCTGGTGAAGGCCTAATATCTGTAGCATCCTTTTGACGAATGCCTTTACGCGACGACTATCGACGTCTGCCTTCAGTGAGCGAAGCAAAAGGTTAAGATACAGTGCCTGCTTGGATGATGTAGTAAGTCGTGGGTCGAGAAGGGACTCATAAAGAGTCCGATAGAACCTATCATGAGCGACGTGGCGTGTTGATGACAATTGCTGAATCAGAATAAGGGCTTGTATACTGGTGTTGAAATTCGCCGAGTGGGCGATTCGGAAAAGGGTGTCGATGTGAGCCTCCATTCTACAGAGTCCGGTCAGCAAAACTAAACAAGCAAACTAGGCAACACACTGCGAATACTGACATTGGATCATTAGCTGGTAGGAAAGGGGCAGCACGGTTAATGCCAGTAAGGACGGCCGAGACAAGCTTCTCAACCGCGTCACGCTCAGTTGGAGGGGTCACCGTCTTTGGTTTGCCACGTTGACTTCGACCACGGACTCCTGAAGTTGAATCATCCTTGGGTGCGTCGTCTCGTCCCAGCACGGAGCCCTTCAGCAAGGTGACAAATATCTCAAAGTAGCAACTTAAGAGAGCTTCCGCAGTCTTGGGGTCGCGAGTACTGAGGATTGTCTGGTTGAGCGTGCCGACAGCGTAGTACTTGGCACGGGAGCTTTGGCCAGGGCGGAGCAGTACTTCCTGTTCAACAGCCCGGATGACCACAAGCTTCATTCCTGGGTGAGAATTTTGCAGCTGCAGTAAAAGATACGAGGCCCTGGATGAGATTTTGCGATCTCTATCACCAAGTTTGTTAACGAGAAGTCTTAAGAGATTCGTTTCTTGCTCGGGCTTGTCTTTGAGGAGCGCAAAGACGAAATCCAGGGACCGTGTGCGTGAGTATTCGATTTCGTCTCCGCACCAAACCTCAAGATACTGAATGATTTGAAAATATGTGGCCTTCAACCAGTCTTCGTAGGCCCATCCAATAAGGTGGGCTTCTGTCAGTGCGCCGGGAAGCTGTTGTGTCATAGTCCAACGACGAATGTTGTGCTTCTGGAGGACCCCTAACAATCCTCGCTGGGAGTGAAAAGTCCTTAGCCGGCGGCTAGAGGGCAGAATGAGGCCTGGGCCGAGCAAGTCCACGAGGGCGCCCAAGGCACCGATCGCCTGCCCGCGACTACGCTTAGAGGCGAGGCTCATCAGCGCATCAAATGCCTTGATGTTGTGGAGGGGGGATTCCTGAATGGCTAGGGTGAGGGCCGACACCTTGTCCGTCAGTGTTCCAGATGCCATGATGGTGGAAAGGAATTTGTGTGATGAGGATGCCAGGACGCTTTTGCTGTATGCGTTGGCATCATCATCAAGGAGTACTCGGGCGTGGGCCTTGAGACTCTCAACGGCACCAATGTAGGGGTCGATTTCATCCGAGATTGGTTCGGGCAAAGGGCTTAGCTGTACTGCGTGCCAGTCTGCGCGAGGTTCGAATTTCTGCAAGAAGAAACATGGTCAATGTTTTGCGCCAAAATATTAGGGAGGGGCAGAGCTCACGAACTGCTTCCTAAGGCCATTGTCCTTCGTTGCTGAAGCATGCGTCTCTCGTGAGGATACAATTGTCGACGAAGCTGCCTGTGCTTCATCCTCTGGCTCGCCCGGCTTGAAGTCTTGTCGGGCCTCTTCAACCTCGGAAGCCTCTTCCTCGTCAACGTTTGCGTCAAGTCCCTCAAGCCCAAGCTGAGAGGCGAGAGCCCGTACGTCTTCACGCAATTTACTGTCGTCCGCGAGCCGGTTATCAAGAGCTAAGCCCTCAGTCTCCGATTCGGATTCCAGGTCTCCAATGAGTTCGAGATCCTCTTCGTTACCCCCCAATGCCAATATCTCGTCCAAGAGCGCTGATTGGAGGTTTGAAGCGTCCGTTCTCTGGGTAGCGTCACCGTTCCCATCCACATCAACAGGTTTGGCCGAAGAGCTTTGTTGCGTGGTCGGCCGCTTCCTCTTGGTCACCGGGTTTGAGGCTTTGTCGTCTTGCTGGTGTTTTCTTTTACTTGCCTTGCCACTCTTCGGAGGTTGGCGGTCGTTAGGGGAGGTTGTAACCGAAAGTGCCCTGCCAGCCGATTGTTGGGGTTGAGGCTTCAGGTCGGCCGCCCGGGGTCCCTTTGCGCCCGACATTTCAAGGGCGTTCTTTCGCCGAGAATCACACGTAATCAGGAGAAATATGACAGCGTGGGTCAAGCACAGCGTGCTCTTGACCGCTCGTTATCACAAATAGGTTATGAAGGTGACTTTGGTGATGTAGGGTGCCCTACAGATGGGAAAAAGTTTCGACCTCGAGAACTTTTTAGCGGGGCTGCGTGTAGTAGTGGGGTATGATCCATCCACTAAAGCCACATGGGTTGACCAGTAAATAAAGTGTGTTCAGAAGCTCGGACCTTTCATATCGCGCGTTGTATTTGTGAGATGCTCATCTCACAAAAGCCGCCACTCTGAGGTCCAGCCAGGAGCCATGACTGAACCAGACGATCTCTTTGTGCCTTGAGGAATACTTGGCGGGCGGTACCCGGGAGCAACTGTTGCTGAGCAAGGTTCACTAGAACTTCTTCAATCGCGCGGGTGTATCCTCTCCTTGCCTTTTAACAGATCCGTGTGGCGTCTTCTTCTCCGTTCAACAACTTTACAAAGTCACGCCAAGCGTAAGGCTTTGGCACGATGTTTCCTCTCAGACCAAACGCGGAACCGTCTGCTATCTCGAGGGCGTTAATTCGTCGTTCCACTCGTTCTTACCATCAATGTCATTCTGGTGCAGACCAACGCCAGCGCCTAACAGCCATATGGACTCCTACGGGTGGACGGACTGCAGGGGAAGCAGAAAGTGCGCTCACCGAAAAACACAATATTGGCTAGGCATACTAATACTATGATTAGGAGCTCATGATAAGTTGATCAGAGCTGGACTCCTTCGCCAGGTGAATCTGCCCCCTTCCGTTCATGTCTCTCCGTCGAGCACCGCTAAACTCTATGATACCGCAGTCGCATTCAGGCATCTTTCATATTCTTCCAATGGGCTACCGCATCCAAAGCAAACTAGAGTCTCTGATTGACAAACACATGCAAAGCCTGGGTGAGTAACGCGAATGGATAGCCTCCCAAAGCACCAAACAGCTAACTTTACCAGGGGCATCCCGGGTTGCCTTGTCTTCCATCACTTCCAAGAAGCTGTGGCAACAGAGCGGTCGCTACGAGAATCTAGGTTCAGAGGTATGTGACTTATTCATGTCGCCCAGGATTTATCTTCGATGTCTGACTGGGCATGAAGCTTTTCAACTTCCAGGACCGCAAGGGGGCTGACTACATGCTTGCCCCTACGCATGAAGAAGAGGTGACTTCACTGGTGGCTCAGTCTGTCAAGTCATACAAAGAGCTTCCACTCCGCCTATATCAAATTAGTAAGTAGCTTTCCGGATGCTGCTGGTGAATGGAGAAACTGACTCAATGTCAGCTCGTAAATACCGGGACGAACTTCGACCCCGTCATGGTTTGCTGCGGACTCGAGAGTTCACCATGAAAGATCTGTACACCTTTGACGTGGATACAGCTGCTGCCATGCAGACATACGAGCAGGTGCAGGATGCATATGCATCGTTCTTTGGTTCGCTTGGCCTTCCTGTTGTCAAAGCCAGGGCTGGGTCGGGCGACATGGGCGGAGATTTAAGTCACGAGTACCATTTCACCTCCCCGATCGGCGAAGATCTCATAATGAAGTGTAACAACTGCGAGTTCGCGGTGAATTCAGATATCGCCGAGCAGCCCGCAAATGACCGCGCCACGGATCCTCAACATCATTGCCCCGAATGTGAGGCTGGGACCCTTGAGGCGAAGGAAGCACTTGAGGTCGGTCATACATTTCACCTGGGTACTCGCTATTCAGAACCTCTTGGTGCCCGTATCGCACTCCCAACGACCTCGCAAGGAGGGTCGCAAAGTACGGATACATCAGCTGCGAGGGCAACAACCCACATACAGATGGGATGCCATGGCATTGGAGTGTCCCGTCTGATTGGTGCGGTCGCAGAGCATTTCGCTGACCCAGTTGGCCTACAATGGCCTCGTGCCATTTCGCCTTACGAGGTTGAAATAGTCTTTGCCGACGGCCTGGAAGCGCAGGCGGTTCAGATATACGACGACGTCGTGCATGGCTTGAGCGATACTACTGACGTCCTTCTGGATGATCGACCTGTCTCGCTCCCATGGAAACTGAAAGATGCCGACCTGGCCGGCTACCCAATCGTGGTCGTGCTGGGGCAAGTTTGGAAAAAAACTGGGAACGTAGAGTTGCAGTGTCGCCGATTGGGCATAAAAGAGTCCGTCCAGCCGTCGGATATATTGCAGAGAATTTCTGACTTACTGCGGCAGCTGTAGATCCATTCCATGTATTGTTGATTCAACCCTGATTAGCAATTCCTGTTTTCGTCTTTGAAGCATAGCCCCTTTAGTGTGCTCCTGCACCTCCACCTAGGTAAGGTAGGTAGGTAGCTATCCACCAACAATGACACACCGATTGGCCCGCATTTGGTCTCCCTGAGTCATCAGATTCCCGTTCACTCTCAGTGACAGCGTTTGTGCCAGGAAGAAACCAGGCAGACCAGGCGAGACGCTGTTATCAGTCCAATACATAATTGTCGACAAACTAAAGATGGCTTCACAAGGTGGTGAGACAGGTATGCCCCTGTATTCTTCTCCAGTATGTTCTGCATTGACAATGTAAGCAGTAAATCTCTCCACTTTGGATGTCCAACAACTTGGCCAGGTGAAGAAGCAGATCGAAGAAGAGCTTGAGCATTTGACGCAGTCTTTCGCCCAGCTACATGCAGTTCAGGGGAAATTCAAGGAATGTCAGCGGATCGTCAAGACACGCCCAGGATCAATCGAAGGTGAGTTAGGGACACTGTCCTGCTCCATCCCGCTCATCCACATGTCACTCGCGACATACTCATCGCAGACTAGGCGAGCGATCTGTGCTTGTTCCTTTGACCAACTCACTCTACGTGAGAGGCGAACTCTCGGATCCCGGTCGCGTAGTTGTTGACGTCGGGACCGGTTTTTACGTCGAAAAGGTATACATCACAGTAACAGCATTCGCATTGGCCTTGGCCCCGAACGCATTTAGTTAACTCGGCACCTAGGAGAGCAGCGCAGCTGAGTTGTTTTACAACGCAAAATTAAAGCAATTGGCCCAAAATATACAGGACCTTGAAGTTATAGTGCAACGCAAAACTGCCAACGTGAGAAGTGTTGAAGACGGTACGTGTTCCTTGCTATTGTGCCACGCCCTCGCCCTCCTCCGCCTTTCACCAATGTTCTCTCACACGTTACACAGTACTGAGGCAAAAAGTCATGGCTGGACAAGCCAGCGAAACTCGATAATTTTCCAACTATAGCACCAAGCCAAGTCAATCATCTTGTCGTGAGTTTCACACCTAACGCGCCTCCCCCGCTCCCGTATGTCGGTGGGCCTCTTCTGTGAATAAGTTCTCAACGTCGTGGAGGACCTCAAAGGACCCTGGAAGAAGTCTCCAAGCTTGCACTCGGCCGTGTTCTGTTGAGTTTCAGGAAGCACGCGTCTCATATCCTGGGCCCAGTGACTTACCGCATGCGTGTCTTCCAGGGTTCTGGGAGGTTATCCCAGCTGTCCGCGTAGGGATGCACGAGACATCTTGATTGCGAATCCATAATGGTGCGGCTACCATTCCAGCTATGAGATTCGATCACCTCAATAATGTAAGGTGTAGCCTTGTAGGCATATCCTCTGGCTGTGCGTGGGATTGTTTGCTCGATGCTTCCGAGAAGTGGATTTCTGCTGAAGACGCCGGGTTTATAAGTGTGAAAGCGCCGCACGACTAATCCAATAGCTGTGAGCTCACTGCCTGGGTATGTGATGATATGCGGTAACTCTGGGTGACAGGCCAGGGCTTGGGGTGACCGAAGACGCATTGAGCTGCCAACCGACCGCTCTAACGTGAATAATCGGGTTTGCAGCTGGATTTTAAGTACTGGGGTTGTGTTCCTGTCCAGCATGATAACACTTGTCCCGAGGATCTGGGGAGCTTTGGAT